CGGTTGTGGAGACAGTGACATAATAACGGTATTGGATAACAGTCACGCTATATCGTGACCTGACAGAAGTAGAAAATGTGAACGACTGGATGCCGAAGAAGTTGTACAGTGGCAACCTGTTAGCCTCGGGACCTGAAGCTTATCGGTTCGATTCATGAAGAGCCGGGTTATGGGTACGCACTGCTGAGGAGTCCCATACCAAGACGAAACAGCTTTCCGATGCTTCCAAGTCTGCATTTGTTCTCCAGCTGTTGTCAGTCTATGATTAATATCAACATAATATCAATCATTAAATTCCAGTTAACCTCAAAAATGACTTTTGTTGTTCTTGAAACTTCAGGCGTAAATTTCCTTCTCATCAATCAAATATTTGAAACAATTTAATTGACAAAAGACAGTCAATAAAGTGGTTCATTTGTCAATCCATTGGAACTGGAAGAGGTTTTCATCACCAATTGATGATTGCACTACATCATGAATCCCCAGAAGTAGGAGTTGACTAACTCCTGGATTCCGACCCATTGACCGAGTAGTAGAGTAATCATTTTAAGGTGTGACAGTCTTGCGCCATGTTCTTCCCTTGAGGAATCCAACGTGCTGTGTAGGAAGAAGTCTAAACTAGGAAGGAACAGTATTGGGTCTGCAAAATATTCAGCGTCATTCATTAAGGAATCAACTTTTATCTGGAAAGGCTTACACAAGTAGAATAAACAATGGAAAGATTAAATCAGCCCACCAAAGGCGTTACCAGATGGTCTTTAAAAGATGCTGGCGAGTTGTTACGCTGGTTTGAAGCAAAAGGATAACGCTAAGCAACAAAAGACTGATTATATGCCTTTAGATTTAATCGTAGATATGAATTCACATGGGCTTCCCATAGCAAAACCATTGAAATGACTGAAAGAAGGGCATCCATTCGATTCAATGTGCATATCTCAAAGAATCTATGCTTGAAGGGAAGTAAACATCTAACCTGCAAAGTTGTCAGACATCTTGTAGACACAGGAGGTCATGTTGAAACTTATACTTAGTGTTTGAGGGCTCGTAATCCTTACAGGTTACTTAAATGTCGGTAAGTTAGGTAGGGTTCGAACCCTGTGACCATTTATAATGTCGTAGTCTGCTTGGTGACCAATAGTGGGAGTCAGGAAGCATGTTTCGTCCAACTTGGGATTCACTCGTCAGCTGGATGTACCTACATTCCAGTCATAAGTGATGTTGTTCCTTCTGAAACTCGAACCTGTCGCTTCAAACATCGAAGTGTTACCCACAGGGACACAATTCCAATCATTTGTGTAACATGTATCAGTCCCTGTTTATTAATAATTGTGAATTCGCATTGCCCCACAAGATCTTATAACTCGACTTCTGTTGGTAGGTGGGCTCCTATGTCGATGTCTCCAAACTGCCAGAAGAAATAATACAAAGATCACAGCTAAAAGAATTCGTCCATGCGACGATTTTATTTTCAAAACCTCTACAATCGCGAACAATGTTGAAGATTCTACCGAATAGGAAAGCAGATATTTGGCGACAAGTAAAAGGCCGATATTTCTTAGCTGCCCATCCGACCTTAATCATTTGCGATATTAGCTGTGAAAAGTAAAGCATATTGAATAAACATCTAACAACTGATATGCTTCGAATCCATTTAATCCCACAGAAGAATCTGAAATCCATTTCCTTGATGCTATAGTGAGGAAACGACCCGACGAACCAGGAAAACAACATGAAACAGATAGCAACTAAACTTACATAGATCTGATCCTATAAAAAGAAACAGACACTGCGTTGGTTCCTTCCGAAACAAAACGATGAAAAGTCAATAACAAACAGAGTAAAATGACAAACATACCCAGATACCAGCTAAAGTCATTCAAAAGACTCTCCATCACCTCAGTCACTTCGACTAACACAACAATACAATAGCCTCCTTCTAAGTCAACCAACAACCCTCAGGTGCGTCACCAGATAATCAGCAAACAAACATCAACCTTCTCATACACACATACACTAATGACGCATCATTAACCAGAACAATAATGAAACATATATACACACGTCAAATACACAAAATACATACCACTCAAACCAGTACACATAAACATATTGTTTATCAGTCACAAGAATTCTATGCAGCGATCTCAAAGAACACATCAACAACAACAACAACAGGATTCACCAATCAGGTTACATGACTTCGAATACAAAGGGAGTATTTCATCAAATAAACACATGCAAGTGGTTATCTCAACAGTTTACTGAATGGCCTTCAAATTCATCCATCGAATAATGACGTATAACATTATTCCCGTCTCAAAGACAAACTTGGCCAAACACCACTTCCAATTAAAACAAATCCCCCTCCAGTGAAAACTCAAAACACAAAATAGTGTAGACACAGAATCAGATAAAATTACTCATACAAAACATCATGCAAAACACGAAGCCAACACATTTTATAAACTCTGACATAACACACCTCGACATAACAACAGTGTCAACAAGGAGAAGATCTGCATGTATTCAAAATCTAGAGGTAATAGTGTTGATGAAATAATGATGAAGAAACGTTCATGTAACAAGATAAATAGGAAAAGCATTCTACACTCACCCATCCAACCACCCAACAATTCAACTCATCTCAATGCTAAAAACATATCACCTCGATTGTCCAATTCAATTCAATCCAATCCACAACTACATGTTCACCTCCTCTTCTTTCTACAGACACACACATTCATCGACAAACATTTCCTGTCGCATTCAACAACACCTCACTGTATGCCTGAACAAACGACAATGTACAGGCATAAATTCATTCATCAATCCTACAACATGTAGTCGACAACAACCAAGCATCATTTCATATTATTTACAAGATCAAATCAAACTACTCGAAAGGTGCACACGTAGGTAGGAGAAGACAAGATGAAGGAGATGAAGGAAGGAATGTTTCCTATTGACTTCTTGTACAATAGTCATCAAATATTGTACACTATACACTAAGACAGTCATTTTCACAATGTCCTTCATTTTCTCTCCTGACTATATCTTGATTTACTCTGAATACGTTCACATTGTCTCTTGTCTTCCTCTGGACAGAATTTTTACTCATTGTTGATAATTTGCTAAGATTTCTCATCACCTCTCAACATATACTACTCATATCCATTTTGGTGAGTAGTGCCCACTACACATACACCAAATTTGTATCACAGATGCCTTGATCATACATAATGCCAAAAGCAGAACTATGTGTCCAGAAACAGTTTGCTCAGTCCCTTTCACTAACTTCGAACTAACTCACCATTTTTGATCAGATGGTGTATACAACCAACTCTGCCTCAGTTTCATTTCATTTCATTTTGTCTTATTCCAATCTCCTCAATTACAACTTCTACCACTTATCACAATTTGTCTGAATGATATTCACTGAATCTACACTCAAGTGTGCATCAACAGAGATCACACTACATTGATTCAATCAGTCACTTACTATCCTGTCTCTTTGACCTTTATTCGCCTTTCCAGTTGATGAGTTGATGATACATGTCACTTTAGCCTCACTTATTACAGTGGACTTTACTATCCCACTTATTGTAACAAATAAAAACACTTACACACTCAAAAACAAATTTGTTAGTAATGTTGTTGATAAAATCAATGTTAATCAAAAAGTTTGTTCTCCATTGACTCAACAGACTTGAACATTAATCAACTCCACATCCAAAAACTCAGTTGGTAGTAAGGAACTGCTAGAAAACTCACACACCCACTTATAATTAGCAACCAGCATAAATATGCCCCAGTGCAACAGACAACAACCAATGAAACAAGTACGCTTGAAGGTCATTCGATAGTCTATAATTTTCCACTAATGAGATTGCAGTTAACCAAGGCCACCTTCATCTTCGTGATGAGATGTAAACCAAACGTATGAATTAGAAAAACGCTTTTTCATTAACTTTTGTTATTCTCAAGTGTGAAGCTGTCATCAATAAATTTGTTATTATCTACCACAACTTATCGATAAATACAGTTGTGTACTTCTTTGAAAATGAAATCGTCGGAAAGAGAAATTTTTTCGTTGTCCTCAGTTAACCTAAATGACCCTAATCAACTACATTCATCTATGGAATTGACCTCACAATCGTTGCACGAGATTTAGTAAATTAAATGATTGAGGCTGCTTCTAAGCCAGTTTTTTTTTTGGTTTATATGCTACTCTTATCCTAGACAGCCATATTGAGAATACTATGTGATATTTCTTCTAAGGTGCCTTCTGTGTAAGAAAACACAGTGAAGGCTTTGAATTCTCCTTCAATCCAGTCATAACTATTACTATCAATAATACTAGTAGAAATATATTTGATAATACCTGTGTTCTTATCACTGCTAACATTCTCTTCCAATTTCTTAACAATTGATTGGTAAATTCCGGTGGATAATTATTGGATCACAAGGTAACGGGACATCACGAAGATGAATGAAACATGTCGACTGCTTGTAATGGAAATTCTTTGGAATTCTGCGTGACCTTGGTGCCACCACTGGTGAAAAAAGAAAGTATGACTGAAAGCGACCTAGACTTTAACACTGTATATGCTGAAAAGTCGTGTTTTCTTGTTCACTTCATAACTTGTGTAATCTTCTGGTGTTTTTAATCGAATTTAATGACCTCCCTTCCATACCATTCAGGTCGCGTAAAATCTTGTAGATTTTCCAACATATATCAATGTGATGATGTCTGTAAACTGACTTCACTCATGTTAAATTATGTTGAGGGGTGATGAGAAATCTTAGCAAATTATCAACAATGAGTAAAAATTCTGTCCAGAGGAAGACAAGAGACAATGTGAACGTATTCAGAGTAAATCAAGATATAGTCAGGAGAGAAAATGAAGGACATTGTGAAAATGACTGTCTTAGTGTATAGTGTACAATATTTGATGACTATTGTACAAGAAGTCAATAGGAAACATTCCTTCCTTCATCTCCTTCATCTTGTCTTCTCCTACCTACGTGTGCACCTTTCGAGTAGTTTGATTTGATCTTGTAAATAATATGAAATGATGCTTGGTTGTTGTCGACTACATGTTGTAGGATTGATGAATGAATTTATGCCTGTACATTGTCGTTTGTTCAGGCATACAGTGAGGTGTTGTTGAATGCGACAGGAAATGTTTGTCGATGAATGTGTGTGTCTGTAGAAAGAAGAGGAGGTGAACATGTAGTTGTGGATTGGATTGAATTGAATTGGACAATCGAGGTGATATGTTTTTAGCATTGAGATGAGTTGAATTGTTGGGTGGTTGGATGGGTGAGTGTAGAATGCTTTTCCTATTTATCTTGTTACATGAACGTTTCTTCATCATTATTTCATCAACACTATTACCTCTAGATTTTGAATACATGCAGATCTTCTCCTTGTTGACACTGTTGTTATGTCGAGGTGTGTTATGTCAGAGTTTATAAAATGTGTTGGCTTCGTGTTTTGCATGATGTTTTGTATGAGTAATTTTATCTGATTCTGTGTCTACACTATTTTGTGTTTTGAGTTTTCACTGGAGGGGGATTTGTTTTAATTGGAAGTGGTGTTTGGCCAAGTTTGTCTTTGAGACGGGAATAATGTTATACGTCATTATTCGATGGATGAATTTGAAGGCCATTCAGTAAACTGTTGAGATAACCACTTGCATGTGTTTATTTGATGAAATACTCCCTTTGTATTCGAAGTCATGTAACCTGATTGGTGAATCCTGTTGTTGTTGTTGTTGATGTGTTCTTTGAGATCGCTGCATAGAATTCTTGTGACTGATAAACAATATGTTTATGTGTACTGGTTTGAGTGGTATGTATTTTGTGTATTTGACGTGTGTATATATGTTTCATTATTGTTCTGGTTAATGATGCGTCATTAGTGTATGTGTGTATGAGAAGGTTGATGTTTGTTTGCTGATTATCTGGTGACGCACCTGAGGGTTGTTGGTTGACTTAGAAGGAGGCTATTGTATTGTTGTGTTAGTCGAAGTGACTGAGGTGATGGAGAGTCTTTTGAATGACTCCTGCAGGCAGCTGGATACTTTCATCATGCGTTTCGAGCCTATACCATGGTAAATGATGGTTGAATTGAGGTTCGAATTTACTCCTGGTTGAGAGACCGTGACTGAGTTGTTGATTGCTTTGACCACTTCGTTTACTTTGGTGGTTGCATCATCCGGAACACGCTGGTTGCTTTCAACAGTTCAGCTCAGTTACAAAAGTTTTGCCTAACATTCGCTTAGCTACGTCATATCTTGCACTGATGAGATATTGAACAACTTATTGAAGTTGTATTCTGATGTCCAGTTTCTTTCAACACTGTTGAAAGTGGTATGAGATATGGTCGTTAACACTAGAATACCTGAAGAGATTACAGCACACCACTGTTGGTATGTGATAAAATCACCATATGAGCATAATTGGGGTTAGACGTATTGCACTGGTCAAGGAAGTCAAGTCATTTAATTTTGTGGATCTTCATCAACTGTAATGGCTTGGACATCCCTTGTCTATGTCTAGCCACGATTTATCGCATCGTGCAATTTCAGCTGAATTAAGATTGAGTTGGAAGATGACTCAGGGTGACTAGTCCATGAAGTCAGTAATTGTTAGTCTGAGCTATGTAGGAAGGTGCAGGCTTCCTGATTTGGACCCTCGAGATGAAAGCAGTTTTTGGTTTCAGACACTTGATAACAAGTTTGAAAATCGGTCATAACGGTCTCCATGTATCCACTCAGCCTTCATTATTCAGATTCGATCTGGTATGTTACACTTTTTTCTACTTGAATATTCCCCTTTTCTGGGTCCATTTGTTGGTTGGACACTGCTTTGAAGCGTGTCAACTCCAACCGACACACTACTATGAGAGCTTCGACTTTGATTTTATCTGTATGTATCTGTCTGACCTGGATCATTCAGTACGGAAGTTCTGAATGGTGCTGAAGAGCATTTTCAGTACTTTGTATCTGGTAGAAACTTCTATTCTATTGTGTAAGCTTATCAAATCCCACACACTTAACAGCCCTCCCTCTTATTCACCCAATGTAAACACTCTAACAGATACACGTAGGTTTCTGGAAAACAAACTTTATCTCTGAACGTTATACGTGGAAAGACTATAGTTTACCATTAAAAGATATAAAGCAAACAAAAAATTAGACTAACATCTTACCTCATAGATTTTTGTCTTTTTCAAGAATTCCTCCTCCATGCCTACACTTCAGTAAAAAGCCAAGCCCAGGACTTTAAGGTCTCTTTGTGATCACTGATCCACTGTTATGAAATTAAGCCACCCGTGTTTCCCGGCTTCTCTGTAATACAAAGTGGCTATCAATCAGCATTGTCGATGAGTGTTTCTACATCCTACTTGACTGACAACACAGGTCGATACTTCTAATTGATGAAGACAATGTTCGAACAAATTCGTTTTCTTCTTCAAGCATGACGTTTGTACTTAGTAGCTACGCCTTCGAATACGCCAAAGCGTTATCCACCAGGTCACTGTGGCATAATACCCACCTCTTGTGCAACAGTTATCAAATTTTGTTTGATTCTTACAACTGTTTGACCCCGGTTGGCAGATGGGCTCTTTCTTTGAGTATTTCATACACTGGGAGAATTTTTATTTACTGGAGGACGTTTGTAACAGAGTTCAAGTCAATGGTGATTCCACATGCTTAGATGAGTGCAAGAAGTATGCAACGTTGGACGAGTTTGACCTTACACTGACTGACTCCCAACATAAAATACCAAAACGTATTGACTTACTTGTCAGCTTCAGCCCAACTGAGAAAAACACGAATTAATGTCTGCAGACAAATACAAGCATGAAATCGTTTGTTCAAGAGACAGAAAACTAAGACACAAACTCTTTGAAAAAATATCTGGCGACAAGCATTTTAATGAAATGATAGTTAAAATGTTTACGGTGGTGGTGGGTCACAGTAAATTTAATCAAAACATTGAAAAGTTATCACTTCCCTTTTGTATCATCTCACTAGAAAATTCGTTTCCACTTTGATAAAATTCTCATTATCGATGGTCTAATCAGTAATCAATAAATAAATCGATAATCTTATCTAGCGTGAGTTATCGATTGGATTATATGGCAGACTAATTCTAATGGACAGCTGAGTTAAAAGTAATTAGTGGCTTATAGATTACTGACAAGACTTTTTGAGATATTTTTCGTTCAGTGGGATAGATGAGGTACCTCTGACTTCACAGGGATTGGTCTAGTCCCTGGAGGTCATCTGGTTGACTCATAGTACATACATGTTACTATCCTGCCAGGTGTGAAAGCTATCAGCTGAAAACCATTTCTAATTAGAACTCACTCCCTCAAGAATCTAGAACTATAAAATGCCTTGTCGCTTTCATCAGCCTTCTAGGTGATAACAGCTAACGCTGGGAACCAAATTTTAGGTACTCAGTTACCCCACACACGAGATAGCACACAGTAATATTTATTAGATGATGTTTTGATGACACTTTGTTGCTCATAACAGTACCAAGGTAACAACTATATATGATATGATTTTGAGCAATAAATTGTTTTGAAGTGATAGGAAGTGGCCAAATATGGTAATCAACGTTGAAGGTCATCAGCCATTGGGGTAGAATTGCATCTGTTTCAGATTATGATTTATGCCTATATATGGACAGAATAACCTCATTGGACGATTCGGTAGCCAATAAGATTGTGGTATTCTGTTTTGACATAGGATATATTTTTTATATGTAGTAATCGTATATATATGCTATAGTTTATCAAATAAGGTTGTTGTGTGACTCAGTGAAGAGTGAGGTGCAGAGGGGGAATAGTCATGTTGGCATTCACTTCTAATGGACCATTGCGTTCATTATTGTGATTGCCTACGTCTAGATTCTCCTTGGTCACTTCAACAACTTTATGCGTGTTAACTTCAAATAAATGAAGCTAATTGGCATATCGGAAGTATCTGTATACAGGATTTTTAGCTTGAAACTCAACGGAAATAAGTTCAATGTTCAATTAACTGTTAAGACAATTTCACTTGCTCAAAAAATATCTCCCTTTTCATTAGTTAAGTCAATAAATTCTCTTAGTTTTACAATCTTTTTCCTTGATTTCCGATTACACTTTCAATTGTTTTCATAGAATTTATTCGCTGTCTTGAATGGATACACAAGATTTTAAAAGGAGAGAGAAAAAAATGAGACAATATGTGACATACTATGTGATATTTCTTCTAGGTTGCCTTCTGTGTAAGGAAACACAGTGAAGGCTTTGAATTCGACTTCAACCCTGTCACTATTATTACTGTCACTACTATTATTATTATTACTATTATTATTTGTCCCTTGAGTTCCTAATGGGACAAAGGGTTTCAGTAGCACGTCTCCAATGCGCTCTGTTCTCTGAAATCTTCTGAACCTAGCTCCATGACAGCCCACAAACTCTCATTTCCTCCTCGCACGATCTCCTCCATGTCACCCTCACCTCGGACGCCCAACTCGTCGTTTCCCCTCTGGATTCCACTCGAGTGACTGGCCTGGCACGTTGTGTCCCCAGTCGGCCTTCTCAGTGCATGCCAATTCAATCCATCTCCACTTCCTTCCAGTGCATATCTGTTGGGCTATAGGTTCTTGGTTAGTTCGTTCCCAAAGTTCCTCCTTGCTTATTCTTTCTGGCCATCCATCTGAGCGTCCGTAACGAGCCAGCCTCGGCAGTTGTTGATGAATGTCTGTAGTTTGTTGGAAATCCCTTTCGTAATGCGCCAAGTCTCTCAACCATACAGAAGCACTGACTTGACTGAATTGGTGTTGAAAATCCGGTTGTTATTCACGCTTTATGCTGAGTGCAGTGCAGTGCAGTAGATCTCCACACTGGTTTCAGGCTAATGAACGCATGTCTTGCTCTTCCGATCCTGGTTTTGACGTCCTCGTCTATGCTGCCTGTAGTTGAAACAGTTCTGCCTAGTCACTACTACTAGTAGAAATATGTTTGATAATACCTGTGTTCTTATCACTTCTAACATTCTCTTCCAATTTCTTAACAATTGATTGGTAAATTCCGGTGGATAATTATTGGATCACAAGGTAACGGGACATCACGAAGATGAATGAAACATGTCGACTGCTTGTAATGGAAATTCTTTGGAATTCTGCGTGACCTTGGTGCCACCACTGGTGAAAAAAGAAAGTATGACTGAAAGCGACCTAGACTTTAACACTGTATATGCTGAAAAGTCGTGTTTTCTTGTTCACTTCATAACTTGTGTAATCTTCTGGTGTTTTTAATCGAATTTAATGACCTCCCTTCCATACCATTCAGGTCGCGTAAAATCTTGTAGATTTTCCAACATACATCAATGTGATGATGTCTGTAAACTGACTTCACTCATGTTGAATTATCAATATGAGAATAAAATATTCTTGAGATGAATGGTGGTTGTTTTCCTTTTAATTTAGAGGTGGTATTGATCATGGAGTGAGATCAGTTGGAGAACCATTGAAAACGCTTAGGAGTACTGGATAGTTGTTTCGTCGTAGTATGAGACTTCTCAGGAGT